TTAATTTGCATCTCTCTGATGATTAGTGATGTTGAGCATTTCTTCATATGTCTCTTGGCCATTTGTATGTTCTTTTTGGAGAGGTGTGTATTTAGATCCTCTGCCCATTTTTTAATTGGGTTCTTTGTCTTCCATTTGTTGTGTTGTATGAACACTATATATTTTGGAAATTAATCCTCATCTGATGCATCATTGGTGATTATGATCTCCCATATAATGAGATCCCTTTCTGTTTTGATGGTTGTTTCTTTTGCTGTGCAGAAGCTTTTTAGTTTGATGTAGTCCCATGTGTTCATTTTTTCCTTTGTTGCTCTTGCCTTAGGTGATGTATCAGTGAAAATTCTGCTGTTGTATGATGTCTGAGATTTTGTTGCCTACATTTTTGTCTAGAATTTTTATGGATTCACAAGTTACATTTAAGTCTTTTATCCATTTTGAGTTTATTTTTGTGTATGGTGTAAGTTGGTGTTCTAGCTTCATTTTTCTGCAAGTAGCTGTCCAATTTTCCCAACACCATTTATTGAAGCGACTGTCTTGACTCCACTGTATTCTCTTGCCACCTTTGTCAAATATTAATTGAGCATATTGTCTTGGGTCAATTTCTGTGTTCTCTATTCTATTCCATAATTCCTACTGTATTTTAAAGATCTGTATTTCCTGGTTTTCTAGTGAAAACTTTTTAATAGTGTAAGTGAGAAATATAGTACTTTTATACTACAGCTTTTTTAAAAAAATATTTTTATTAATTTCATTTTGTTACAGATGTTTCTCCTTTTTCCCCATTGACACCCTCCTCCCCATTCCCTCCGCCCCTTCCCCAGCTGTGTTGTCTATGTCCATTGGTTATGCATATATGCATATAAGTTCTGTGGTTTATCTGTTCCCGCCCCTCTTCTGGTGTTTGTCAGTTCATAGCAGCACTATTTACAATAGCTAAGATCTGGAAACATCCCAAGTGTCCATTAGTAGATGAGTGGATGAAAAAGCTGTGGTACATGTACACAATGGAATACAATGCAGCTGTAAGAAAGAAAGATCTCTTATGATTTGAGATGACATGGAGGGACCTGGAGAGTATTATGCTAAGCGAAACAAGCCAAACAGAGAAAGACAAATATCACATGATCTCACTTATTTGTGGAATATAATGAACTAAACAAACTGATATACTATAAATTTTTATTAATTTTTACTAAAATTTATTATTTTGCTTAAATATTTAACTCTATTTTTATCATTCTTGTTAGAATTCGCCATTAATTCTACTGAAGTAAATTTCTTAATACAAATTTCCCCCCTTTTCATTCCCAATATTCTATGGTAGTATTTATAACGAAGACTTTTACATATTGAGAAAAAGGATGTTTGCATTCATTCATTCAAAGAATATTTATTATGTGCCTATTATGTTCCAAATACTATTCTTAGGCTGAGGAAACAAAAGTGAAGAAAACAGACAAAAATACATGCTTTTTCATTTACTTTTCTTTATGGTGTGTGGAGATAGAAAACAAACATAATAAGTAAATTATATTTTTGCATTAAGATGTAATGAGTGCTATAACAAGACATATGGAAGTACATAATTTATTGTAGAATTATTTCTTTTTGACAGAGACCAAACTATATTAATTGAAAAGCTTACAGAATTCCTAATGTAAAAGCAGAGTTTCAATATAACATTTATTATTCAATTTTATTCATCATCAAATTTAACAGAATTTATTGATAGGACACTATGTTGCACACTTTCACATAGAAAATTTATTAAATTCCCAAAACATTCTCATGAGGTTTTATTGAGAAAACTCCGATAAAGAGAGATTCCATAATAACTCACCCCTATGGCTGAAACAAGCAATTGGCACAGCCAGAATTCACATCCAGATTTTTGATTTCTCAATGCTTCTCTGTTTTTACTCTACCTTGCTGCATCTAACACTACCAAGTAGTTTATTACAACACTCCATCTTTTGATTTATTGATGGTGGTATAAAGGTCTCAGATTTGGAAGTCCTTTCAATAAAAATGTGTTCAGTTAATAAAACCAACTTTCATGTAGTCTAGCAAAATGATTTCTGAGAGAATATTCTGCAGATCTCTCAAAAAGAAGAGAGAGAGGGAAGTGACTTAGAGATTAGAGTATCAATATCCAGAATTTCCAAATTTTCATCAGCAGGCTTGCAAGTCTCAAGTTTAGTTGTAGTGGTGGCCAGGTTAAGTGTATTTTTCCACTAAATATATATCTTCAAAATTGTATGAGTAATCAGGAGCTTTTATTTGCAAAAGTGCTGCTCTTGGCATTTGCTAATCCTGCACTTGCTGGTGTGGTTGGCATAATTGTTCGCACAGTTTTTATTTCGCATATGCAGCGTGTGCACCTGTTGTCGGACCGGCTAAAACAGTTCTCGCTCCTTGGTATTGGGCCATTTTGCTGATACAGTGTGTTATAAATATTGCAAGAGTAGAACAGTTTGTAGGACAGGGTAATACAATATAATGTAACTAACAAACTCATTTTTTATTTAGTCCCTACAGTCTGAGATGTGAGTTAAAATTTCAGCCTATGTCAAGGTTATGACAAATTATGGTCAGTAATTATATCTTATTTAGAATATACTCTATATAAGATATATTGGTAAGAACTACTCTGTGTTGCTTAAACTGATCCTGGTTGGGGGAAAGGAGAAATAGTTTCTTCCTAAATAATAACTTAATCTTTAAAATAGAGTCTCTTCATGTGAAATCACAGCTATACTTGAGCCGGTTGTAATAGAGACACATCCTGTGATTACGTAAGAAAATAATATGAGAAGGGAATTCTGGGCACTGTGCATTTTGTTTGAGTGACACTGATATATTTGGAAGCATGTGTCTTCCCCTTCCACCTAAATGCATGTTTGTTTATTTTGGCCTACTATGGGCTACCGGTTCCTTCTAACTTCTGTGTCCAAAGGTTCACTGCATGTGGGTTCAAGTACTCCTTCTTATAAGTTTATCATTATAAATTATAACCAGATTTTGGGGGGAATCATGTCCCAAATAGCAGTTACATTCTTGAATTTAAATAGTTTCATTTCCGATCAATGCAATATCCTTTAACAAGGGAGAAGATCTAATCAGTCATGTTTTGCCAAAGTGCCATGCACAAAGTGTGATCAGGTAGTGTTCTATTCCTTTTTACTGTATTCATCACACATGTAGTAAGCACCAATGTTATAACATGTGGCAGGCAGAGCTCAGAATCAGAAACATTTTCCTGCCTCTTTGCTCTTTATAATATATTATTATTTTAAAAACACGTATGTGGTCCTCCCTATATGCCAGGAACAGTTAGAAATATTTACAAATATTAACTTCTTAATCCTCACAGCACCCTTAGGAGGAAGGTATTGTCCAAGGTCACACACACAGTGGTAGTGGAGCCAGGGATTCAAAGCCAGCAGTCTGGCTCCAGAGTTTGTTCTCTTGCACTCCACTGTGCTTTGTCTAGTAATTTTCAGATAGCAATCATTTGTATGAAGTGAAAAACAAGATGTGATTCCTGCCCTCAGAGGAATTTACAATCTAAATCTCTTTCTTTGTTCATTTTATACTTATCTTCAAAGATCTAGATAGAGCCCTACAGCTCATTAATTTATAGATACCTTCATTTATAAAGTATGTATGATGTACTGAAGACCAGGGTAATACAGGCTGCCTCTTAAGGATCTCACATCAGGAAGAGATGCAATTTGATGAGTGCTAATAGAAGAATGTATTTTAATTACATCCTTTTGGGGAAAATTACAAAAATTTTCAGAAGGGATAATGTTCGATTTGGAGTGTACTAGATGGATGAATGGAGAGAGAAAGGAAGGAATTGCAGGTGGAAGGCACAGTGGCATGTATATGAAGGAGCAGGGTGGACTCAGGAATGGAAATTATTAAGAGTGTGATATGACCAGAGACCCAGGAAATAGGGTCTAAGTTTGAATAGTCTTGTGTCCCTTAATAACGATGTCAAATTGATTCTGTCAGTAATAGAAAATAATGAAGAAACTTAAGTAGTGAAAAGACATGGTGCATACTGTGTTTTAGATCCATGAAATGGACACTTTGATTCAGAGCTTCCACTAGAACTAATTTTGATTCCCAATTTTGTTGTTTACCTCTTCCCCCTCATCTTCTTCCTCCATCTCCTTGATCCTTTCTTCTTCCATTTTTTGCCCTCGTTCCTGTCAATTCTCCTCACACCTTCTAGTAATAAAAAATGTATACTTTATCAAGAGTTAATTTCAAGTTTTCAGGAAAATACTCAGTATCTTCCATTAAACCTTATTATGAATGTCATCATTCTTTCGACTTGTCAATTTGCAAACTCCCTTTTGTTAATGATATTTCCAAACATTTTTGTGAGAAACAGGAATATTTATTTGATGGACAATGAACTGTTGAAGGGATAAACTAAAATTATGATACTTGGCTAGCTCTCCTCACACAAAGATCCATCAAGTCACATTGAGATGTATTCAAATTTTGCTGCATCCTGAGAGAAGCTGTAGCAATAAATGTCTCCAAATAGTTCTGAGATTGTTTCTCAGCTGTTCCACTTCCTGAATAATTCCTTCCAGCACAAAATCCATCCTCTTTCTGCGTCTATCATGTTTGCCTAAAAGTACTGTTATAAGATAATGCAGCTGGAACTCCTTTATAAAAGCACAGTGCAGATGAAAGGCATTTCTATTAATTTACATTTTCAGTTAGAGTTGAGTTCCATATTTCTATGCCACAGTATTCCTCTAGGAGTTCTGTATTTTAATGGCCCCAAGTTTTCAACTTTCTGTAATAGTGAGAAAAATTTAGCTGAACTTCAGTTCTTGCATAAGAGGTTTTCTTTGTCCTTGTCAGACTTTCAGAGAATCTGTCTTTAATGTCTAGAGAAAAACTTAAAGGAAAACTGTCTGAAAGGCCCTTGATTTGCATTAATGATGTCCTTCAAGAGAGTTTTTCTTTTTTAGATCCAAGAATTGATCAAGACACACTTTGGCAGCCATGGCAGAAGGGCCATACTCTACAGACCTCCTTCCTACAGCAAAACAGAGCTTCTGCTCCACCAGCACATTCTCACTCAGCTCCACTACACTGTTGTCATCGCTGAAGAAGGGCTTGGTGCTGACCTTGGGCTGGAGCTGCTAGAAAAAGGTCAGAATACGAAAGTAATTACCAAAGTGGCATAACATGGAATGTTAAATAATTTCTGGAATGTGCTACTGTCTTTCTGTAGAAAATTCACTAAAACAAATTGTTATCCTTGATCAACTTTCTTACATCATAGAAAACTTGGCTCCTTTTCTACTTCTCAATTTTTCTTTAGCTATATGTCTTTATTCTTGAAATTATTTTGTTTATATTTTTGTAGCATTTTGGAGTTGCATAGTTCATGTTTAAATGCTACATAAAAAATGTTTATGTTTATGAGCCTGAATACTTGTTCTGCCCAGCACCAAACTGCTCCATATTTTAAGAAAATTGCCAATTCATCTGACTGCAAGTAGAAAGTGCTGGAAATTGTTTCGAGGAGCCAGCTTAAATGTGATTCATAGATTGTCTCTAAATGTGAAAGAAGTGTGAATATTTATCACACACACTATTATTACTAGTCAACTACTTTTATTTCTTTCATCTGAAGTAAAAAATAAAAGACAAGTCTTTAAACAAGTTATTTGAAAACAGAGCCAAATAGATGATGAGGGTCAAAAAGGGCAGAAACAATAGCTCCCACTTGTTGGACAATGAACCTGTGACAGATACTATGTTGTATTCTGTATTCATGATCTCATTTAATCCTCACTGAAGCCCCATGAGTACCCTGAGATTAAGAAATATTAAATATTCTCCCTGATATTCCAGGAGAGAAAACTGAGGTTCAAGAAGTGAAGTGACTCAGCCTATATCTGAAACCTGGGTTGAAGGAAGGGAGGATTTGAACCCCTGTGTTCCAATTCTCATGTCTGCTCGTGGTCTTCACCTTCTTGTTGCCTCAGTCTCTCCTTCGGCCCAATATCCCGCATGACTCTGTCATTATTAAATCTGTAAGAATGGGGAGCACTCATTCAGCATGATCAAAGCAGATATTTCTCTTTATAAAGGAAGGAAGAAAAGGCAATTTAAATCAACTGCTGATCTCAGCAGTGGTTTTCTTTGGGAGAGAATATGCAGATCCTGGTCCTATAACAATATTTATTTTTCCTTTAAGTTTCAAATCTTGCCATCATCATAGCACTTCTTCAGTTAGGTGCCCCTTTACTCTTTAAGTGCTGGGTTTATGCCGGTGAATGAAAGAGGCTGGGGGACATTTAGCCATGATCACTCTACCGCGTTCCTTTCCACCACATTGGCTGTAATGTTGTAAGCTACTTAGCTAGCAAAGCTCCCAGGGATTAGAACCCCCCAAAACCCACCTTGATGAAAAGAAAGATACTGAAAGTGTGGAGAGTATGAGCCACAAGGACAGAAATGCCATTTGCTGGACCCTGCCCCCTAGGGGATGGTGTGGAAACTAGAGTACTTGGCTCCTGGAAGCAGGAGGGGAAGGGGAAACTCTGGAAGATCAAAGAGGCCTGGAAACAAACTTGATACACCTAGTTGCAGTGGGTTCCAGTAAGAAGGACCGATCTAGAGTTCTAGAACATCTATAAATGATATTGTCAGAAAACCACTGATCAGCATAGGTGTTAAGGAAAGATACAAACATTTATTGTCGAGGACGGGTTAGAGGCTGTGGTCTGCCCTGTTTGAGGGGCTCAGGGACTGCTGAGGAGGGGACTTGCTAGGAGGCCAAGGGTGGACGGGTGGACGGGGTTAACAGAGGCCCAGCCAAGGTGATTGGCTTTAGCAGGGCTGGGTTCTGGGTGAGGAGGATTGTGGGGCTCAGGGGTTTTATGGGAATCGGGTGCCTGAGGACATTTGTGGGGTTGAGGGCGAGTCTGGGGGCAAGAAGTTGGAGAAAACAGATATGTCACCTGTGGAGAAGGGGCAGTGTTTACTACAGGCAGAATTGACTAAAAGTCTGAGAAAAATTAATTATATTTCTCTCAGTTGGTCCCAGACACCTTTTAACAAAGGTACCCACAGGTATTTCAAATACATGCCAGACACCCACACATGTGCCATCAGATACCCCGAACATGCTTTTAGGCACCAGAAAATTGTTTACACATCCCATTTAGGTCTGTTAGATCCCCAGCACTAACATTCAGAATCTGCAAAACATGCCAAATATCCCCAAAATACCACACCCTTTCATCCAGAAACCACCAGATACCCCCAAACGGGCTTTCAGATACCAAGAAACTATGTAAGAGACCCTACACAGGAACTTTTAGATCCTCCTCCAAAACCCATAACAGACACACCCATTCATCAATAAATAAGCAAACAAATAAATAAAACATTTATTCTCTCTCTCATCCCTCAAAATAGTTTAGCCCATCACTGAACCAGGTGGCTGACTGTGTATAACCATCGCCTGTATGGCTTGTGAGCTGTGCTCTTGAGTCATGCAGAGTGTTATCTCTGATAACACACCACTGTTGTCTGAATTCCTGTCCCTCTCCCTACTGGGTGCTGCCACAGGCTGGGTATGGTCACAACATGGTTTATCTGTACATTTCAGCTTTCATTCCATCTCAATTTTCAGTTTTCTCTAGTTGCAAAACAGAGGAACTATGTCTCCTCTCTCCCTTGATGTCCGTGGGTCAGTTTTACAAAAAAAAAAGAGGATTACTTTGCCGCTTCCAAGTATCAAGAAAGTGCAAAGATAGCCCCAAGGCAATAGACTCTGGCAGTCAGTCCAAGGAGCCACTGGGCCCAGCAGCACAGATAACTAGATGGTGTCATGGGAGCATGACGTGTAAAGGCTGACTTGGCTGTTCTTTCTTACATTCCCTCAGCTTTTAAAACATCCATATCCTAACTCTTGGAATTCTTTTACTTTGCATAGTTAGATATTATTCCTGGATAGTCCTCAAGAAAGGGTAGCAATTCCACGAGTATGAAAAATTGATTTTTTTTTCACTTGATTTTGTAGTTTTCACTGAAATTAATATGCATTGACTACCTAAAATTAAAAAGTTCTGTGACTATCTGCTAATATTTCCTTGATCATCTAACATATATAAAAAAACTACTTTTAATTACAGTTTATTTGCCATGGCTACAAGTTTGATGTACAAATTATGTTTGAATTTAGGTGCTTACTACAAAAAATATTTTCTAGACATTTGAGTCTCATAAGAATTTGTTTTGCTTTAGTTTCACATATTCACCTCATGCTTATTTTGTTATATGTGCAGCAACAGAAAGTATGACACTATGTTGGTGCATTTAAACTTAATCTCCTCATGTGGAGCAGCCTAGAGGAAGTCGAAGCAGTTCAGAGTGATCTGGAACTCTAATCACCCACCTTTCACTTGACATTGCAGTTTCTGCAGTTAGCTAACCTGAAATTTGAAATATCACATTAGAAACAAAATAGGTACTCCCACAGAAGTTACTAAATACCCAGGTGCAGACTTGACACATTTTACTTTATTTTTACTTTGAATTATTTTATTACTGGCAAGGTTGCATATATATATTCTTGTATTTGTTACTCATTTAGTTTCTTAGTTGGAACAATTAGTAGGAATTCCTGTCCCACACTCAGCCTTTTCCCCCAGTGGTCATTTGTTCTCTACTTTTAATGAGAAATTCTGTCATGCACTCATTGAATATAAATTGAGGACTGACCGACTTCTAGGCAAAGATATAGGTTGCTGAGAAAAAAGGTCACTATAGTTATATAGATAGAGAGATAGAGGTCACCCACTGTACCTTAAATCTTTTTTTTGGGGGGGGGGGTACATGCCCCTAGCGGGAACTGAACCCAGGACTCTCTGGTCCGCAGGCCAACACTCCAATCACTGAGCCAAACTGGCCAGGGCGGTACTTTAAATCTTAATGTCACAGAGGCAGCATAGTCAGTTTACATTTATGTACTGAGGACTTCACTGTACAAGCTAATGGGGTGAAATATCTCCAAATCTATTTAAAATTTATTTTCTACTTTATGTGTGGTTTTTTTATTATTATTATTTATCTTTATTTTTGAGAGTATTACAGATGTCTCCCATATTTCCCCCATTACCCTTCTCCACCTGGCTCCTGCTCCAGCACCCCCGGCCTTCACAGCAGTGTTGTTTGTGTCCATGGGTTATGCATATATGCATATAAATTCTTTGGTTAATCTCTACCTGCCCTTCCTCCCCATTTCCCTCTGACCTGACTTGAAACATTTATAAAATATATTCTGGTTATAGAAAATTAAATACAAAATGCGTTTTTCCTGTTCTACTTATCCATTTCACCTGCTTTTCTCTCCTCACTTGACTCGATCCTAGTTACTCCTGCTGACCTCTTTCTGTGTTTTCCTTTGAAGCACTGTGGCCTCTTTCCAGTTTGGGGCCACTATTTTCTTTTGAACTTTTAAGGCCAGAAATTCATAAAAATTAGAAAAAGAATAAAAGGGGATCATAGGCCAAGCAGGCAGCATGCCACTATTGCATAGAATCTGTTCTTGTGAAGTAACATTTAGACTTTATATTTTATTTAATTTTTTTCTACTTAGTAAACATTCATTGAAAAGAAAAGAAGTCTTGGGTTCTAAAGTAGAATATGATTAATTCTATTTCAGTGACATTACAGAAGTTGGTGGCTCCAACAGAAGCTGTGGCTGCCTGACCTTAAGAAAGTCAAGTTCTCTGAACACTAGTTCTCTTAGCTGTGAAAAGCAGTAATGATATTTACTTCACAGTAGGATGTGGTGAGAATTTAATCACTTTGTCCACCCCTTCACAGTTCTTGGAGGAGACACAGTAAAACACAGGCAATATTTTTTTCATTCAATAGTCTGGGAGTGGGGCTCAGAAATTTATATGTTAAAATGAAAACAAGTAATTCTGATGTGTAGCCCAGTTTGGGGAGCATTGTCCTAAGGAATACTATCAGTTCAGGGAGCAACAATCTTTAGAGTTAATTTTGGGAATAAAATAATGTAAAAATCAGCTTGCTATAATGCCATTGCACTACTTAAGATTTAACTCTATAGGTATTTATAAGCATTTCATCTTTAGGCTGATTTTGAGTACAGTAAAAAGACAATT